GTGCCGACCGTCAACCCGGACGGGCTCGCATTCGACCAATCGACCAACGGCTGCTGGCGCAAGAACAGAAACCCAGAGTCGTCGACGGCGGGCGACGCCATGTCCATCGGCATAGACCTGAACCGCAACTTCGACATTGCCTGGAACTACACGCAGGCTCTCGCCCCCGGCGTCGAGGCAGCAAGCACCAACGCCAGCGCCGAGAACTTCTACGGCACAGGCCCCTTCTCCGAGGCGGAGACGCAGAGCATCAGGTGGGTGTTTGACAACTTCCCCAGCATCGGCTGGTACAGCGACCTGCACTCCAACATTGGCATCGGCCTCTACGGCTGGTGCTTCGACTCGATCCAGACGACGGACAAGAGCAAGAACTTCAGGAACAAGAGCTGGGACGGCAAGCGCGGCCTCATTGCCAACGACACGTTTGACTACCGCGAGTACATGGACCGCGGAGACTGGGACAAGCTGCTGGAGGTTACGGGCCGCATGGCCTGGGCGGCGAGCGACGTCAACGCGGCGTACTACTCGGTTTACGCCGCGCACCACCTGTACCCTTCTAGTGGGTGCTCGGTCGACCACGCATATGCTCGTCACATCCTGGATCCGAAGAAGAAGAAGGTTCTCGGAGTCGGTTTCGAGTTTGGATACTCGGGACCCGATGAGGAGTGCCCTTTTTACCCGTCTCCCGAGGCGTACAGGACCGACAAGATGGAGGTGGGGGCTGCTTACATGGAGTTCCTAGTCAATGCACTGAGGCTTGACTAGTTGTCTATGTCGGGTCTGAAGGGTCCAATATGGGCTCACTAGGTGTCGGGGCAGATTGAGCTAGGACCTGCAAGGGGAAGGCGATTGCTGAAGAGGAAACGCAAGAAACATGATGATGATGGGTTGGGGTTCCTACGATATGGCATCGATTGATGCAAATTCACTTCTTCGTATCTTTGCCGGTACAGCTCAAGCCTAGGACTTCCTCTCGGTCGAAAGCAGCTGAACTGGTATAATAAAGAAACAATTTCCGAACACCTTGATTTCTTGTGTGCATGTTGTTCGCAGACCTGTCAATTTGTGCCCAGTTCCCTGAATGTGCTCCCCATTTCATACTCGCAGACATTTCAGCCCTCCCATGTGACCCGTTTCTCCCTAAAGATGCTGACCATTCCCATCGGCAGCAACCCGGAATCAACAATGTTCAGGCCGCCAAAACGGTCCACAATCTCCGGTCCATACAGCATGGTCACCCACTGCCAGTACGGCTCCATCGAGGCCCAGTTCGAGAAGATACCTCTCGGCCTCGGATTGCCGGTCAAGTTACGCAGCGCCGAGCTGATCTTACCCGTGTCTGGCGACAATGTCGAGGGGGACGGCTCGACCAACATCTTGCTGAAAAGATCGTGCACCTGGACTCCATTGTCTTCGAAGCGGAGCTCCTCCCTGAACCGCGTGTAGTCCTCGAAATCGAGGAACGTCTCCTGCTCCTGCTTCGATTCGGGCTTCCAGTCCGGGTCCGCGAGGCTGTCGTGCAGCTCCTCAATCTCGCTGCTGTAGAATCGCTCCTTGGCGGCCTGGTAGCCCTCACGCTCGCCTTTGTGGAAGGCCTCCAGCATGGCAGACGGAGACTCGCTGAACGAGTCGCGAATCTGGAGAAGGGTCACGAATGGCGATTTGAGATCCAGGCCGCCCATCTCCACGGGGAAGAAGATGTAGCCGTCGGGAACATCAGCGATGCCGAAACGGGTCTCAATCGTCTTCTTCAGATGGTCAGCGACGCTCGTTGCCCCTGTTTCGTTAAAAGAGGTGGCAAAGGACGAGAATATCTCCTTTTGGATCCGTTGATGCGTACGAAGCATATCGTCCACGTGCTCGACGCCGTAGCAGCATGCAGGCTTGCCAAAGTTGGCGGAGAAGAATGTGTCTGCGTACGTGTTCCAGGTCTGGATGAAGGCGAAGACGCTCTTGTTGCTGCCGACGAGCTGTTTCTGGAGCTCCTCAATGTGCTTGTCGACCATGGTCTGATCAATTTCGAAACGGCCCGTGGTCGACGAAAGTCGGAGGAAGCCCCATCGGATCTCGCCTTTTGGAAGCAATTCACTGAGTGCTCTGGGCTCGTGCGAGGCCTGGTCGACTCGGACAGCCCCGGTCTTCACCGGGTTGAGCTTGGTGCCGGTGACCCGGGCAAAGTTGTCCATCGTCTTCCATGCCGTTACTGCCTTGGTCTCATCATTGGACCAAAACCAAACGTCATCGTGGATACGCCATATAGTCTGGCCCTCGGTCGCCTGATTGACGGAGAAGTCCAAGCAAAAAAGGATCGATTCACCAAAGAGGTCGCTGAGGGTGTGAGAGGCGGGTGTGCCGCGGAGACGCTTTCGACTGCTGACTGTGTCATCGTCGTCGAGAAACTTTAACGGCGCTTCGAGGAAGTTCTGGAAAAAGGCAAGCCACGGCTCGGAGACGCCAAAGAATCCGAGGACAGCAAGAACCGTCTGATGTGGCAAGAGCGGAGCCCAGCTCTCAAAAACAGAATGGAAAGCAGTCACCTCTCCATGGAGGCTTGTGCCAATGGCAATCTCGGTTGAGAGAATGTGGAGAATTTGCTGCTTCAGCTTCATGGTGTTCTTCGGCGTCGCCGTATGAGCATCATCATCCCCGTCGCCCGAGCGGTCGTCTTCGGAGTCCGAGGCTTCGTTATCTCTGAACGTGGCGATCTTCCTGTGCCTCTTTGCGCCCCCAGCACCAGGTCCTCTTTTGTACATCGGTATCGGCGAAGACGCGGCAAAGCCATGGCTGATGAAATCTGAGGCTGGCTCTGCTGCGTTTTCCCAGTCTGCCTCCTCTTCGCCGTCCGCATTGTGAACCTGCTGCGTCTCAGAGCTGAGAAGTTGAGCCAAGAAGTAATCCTTGTTGTAGAGATCCCTGCGGCGGTCCTGAAGGCATCCGTTACGGAACACAGGTCCCAGGTAGTATCCCAGCCTTTTCTTGTCCGTCTTGGAGACCGGATTGCGTCGAGGCGTCCAAGCGCCCTTTGCTCTGCGAAACGTCGTGAAGGCCCTCTTGCAGAAAACGGACCACTTGACGCCAATGTGCTGCAGGAAGATGGCCTGCAGGAGGTCCTCGTGCATCTTGACGTGGTACACGCCGCTGATCTTGCGATGCTGCTCCAGCAGCACCCTGTCGCCCCACGACCAGGTCTGAAGGGCGGCGATGCGCATGTTGAGGACGTCAGCAATCTCGGCGAGGATGACGTTGTTGCTCTTGAAGTCCCGGAGCACCTCTCGCTTCTCATTCGTCAGCAAGTCGCTGCTGAGAAGTCCGGTGATGGCCCGCAGGAGAGAGGCATTGGTGAACTGGGTGGGGTCGGACATGGACGTCTCGAACACGGCAACGTCGCTCCGCAGCTTCTCGAGCGCGTCGCGCAGCTTCTCCTTTTCGGGGTCACCGCCGGCACCAAACAGCGTGGCAAGATGTCTCTTCAACGCCTTCACGTCGACGTTGGCCGGCTCGAAGACCGTCTTCTCCCACTCGGCCCGCGCCTGGAGCTTGGCGGCGCTGCCGACATGCTCAAAGTCGTCCCCCATCTCGACATCGGCATCCGCCTTCTTGGACGCCTGTTTGCGATCGCCAGACAGCCACTCGGTGACGAGCTGGCCGTAGAGATCCGCGTACTGAAACTTGAGCGACTGCGTGCCGAGGTGACCGAGCAGGGAAGCCTCCCACGCATCGAGCATCTTGGCGGAGACAGAAGGGTCGTGGCGCGCCTGTTCGAGGAAGCGATCCAGGTTCTTGAGCTCGATCTCGAGCGGGCCCTGCTTGCCGGCCCGCAGGACGACGCCGCCGTTCTTGTCGACAGCGACGCCGAGGCATCGCTTGACGCCGCTGCTGAGGGCCCTGATGCGCGCGACCTTGTCGGTCTCCTCGCCGAGGTAGGCGAGCACGGCGGCCTTGGAGGTCTCAAAGTTGTTGCGCCGCTTGGAAAGCTCCTCGAGCTTGGTTTTCGTGATCTCTTGGAGAGTCTCGGAGAAGACGCTGCCTGATGAGGCCATGGTAGTGGTGGAGGAAGCCCGCGGTGCTGCCTCGTGTCGCTGATATGAACCTCGTATGATGCGGTGCTTGCGAGTGTGAGAGGTTCCTCAGGTTCTCGACCGCAGCTGGACTTTGGTCTCGGTGGATAGGGAAGAAACTCTAGAAGTCTCGAAAGAATGAGGAGGAAGTTGAGGGCCAACGGCCAGGTATATAGCCGGGCCCATATGGATGGTCGTCTCGTATTGATGATCGTCTAGGCAGTACAAGGCGAAAGAGGATCTACTCATAGCAGCCAACGACCATCAGACCATCGGGGATTGTGGGGGTGGAGGCGTAGGCAGCCGTGCCAGTCACACAGGTTTGCCTTGTGCTGTGGTTCGCAACCGCTGACTAAGACGCAAGGAAGCCCCTGAGCCCCTTTTGCTTCAGGGATTCTGCTTCAGGGATTCTGCTTCAGGGATTCTGCTTCAGGGTTTCTGCTTCAGGGTTTCTGCTCCTGCAAGACCACCGCCAGCTTTGGCACCGACAATGGCATCAGATCATGTGACTCATTGGCAATTGATGTCTCATAGTTCGCGGACACCCATAGCAGGCATATTCCGGCATGTTGCTTTCTGATTTGATGGCGGTGGTAAGGAAAGGCTGTCTCGAACTCCAACACCACGACAAGGCATCAACAGTCAGGAAACTCCAGTTGCAACAGACTTGACATTCCATGGTATCAGCTAACCTGTAAACAAACCAGCAACCTCATTCGGCCACATCTAGCCCTTTAAGCAATATAACACGATCCAGACGACAAATTCCTTAGAATACAAAGACCTTTCCCTCCCAGAATCAAACGCAGCAACATCTCACCATCTCTTGGCCAGACATGGTCTTATCTTGTTCTGCAACAGCATCCGAGTCATCGCACTTTCATCCATCTGCAACCGTCTTGGCAAAGCACCCTGGGCCCATACTAAATCTCCAGCCGTGACTCACAGCTCATCGCTGATCGTCTCGGCATAGCCCCTGATGCCGTGACCGCCATCATCGAGACCGCCCATGTCATTGGCACCATCCATTGCCATGTCGACGTCTTCCGTCTCGCGCTCCAGCTCGTTGATGGAGTCCATGGCCTTCTTCAGCTTCTCAACAGTAAGCTTGCACGTCTGGCGCTTGCGGGCCGTCGTCTCCTCCTCGTCCATGAGGCGATCAAAAGCCTCGGGACCGGCACCCATCAGCCCCAGCTGCGTCTCGAGGTACATGTCGAGCTCCTTGACAATCGACGGAAACATCCGTGACGTCACGTAGAGCGTCGTCGTTTCGGCGAACCGCAAGGCGGCCAGCCGGTAGTATCCCCGCACATAGGCAGCAACCTTGAGCTCCTTCTCAAACGGATCGGGGCCCATCTTGATGAGCTCTGCGTCATGGCGTCTCTGCTCGCTGGCGCGCTGGTCGGGCGTCATGCGGTCCCAGTCGCTGTTGAAGTGAGAGGCCGCCGTCTTATCGCTGCTCTCGCACTTTTCGCCGACAAAGGCTTGCCATCGCACATAATGGCGGTAACGCTTGAGCAGGCGGCCTTCCTCCTGCTCGTACAGGGTGAATGCGTCGTGGTTAATCGTGAACAGCTGGTAAGACTCCATCTCGTACAGCTCCGTCAGGAACTCCAGGGCCTTGCTCCGGCGGCTGCTGAGAAAGGCCTCCATGTGTCTTTTGGAGTCCTTGAAGACGAGACGTCGCTTGAGCTTGCCGAAAGCCTGATCCAGAGCTTGGTTGACTATGACCTGGAGATGAGACATAACCGCCTCCAGAAAGACAAGCATGGGATGGTTCCAGTGCTTCACGGCAAGTTTACAGAGATCGTTGTACACCTCGCTAGGGACAATGTTCGGCATACCAGCCTTGGTCTTGGCCTGGATGTCTGCGCGGATCGCCCCAATGCTCCTGAAGCCCGAGCCCAGAGATGTAAAGTTCTGGAACGGAGCAGGCAGAACAGACGGCCGGACGGAGCCGCGAGATGGCGTGTGTGGTGTCGGCGTACCGTTGCGCACAGTGGCCTCTTCCGTCTTCATTTGCAAGCCGGCTTGCGAAGCCTGGGAGAAGCTGCCGCTACTGCCGACGTGTCGGGGTCGCTTGCTCGCACCGTTGGAGCTGGCCTGCGGGCCTCGCTTGCGGCTCGCACTTGCTGGCTCGTCGTCATCAGAGATTTCGAGAACTGGCACATCAGACTTGTGCTTGAGCGAGAATTTAGGCTTCGCGTGCAACAGACATTCGCGGAAAGACCCCGCCAAAAGACCGAAAGCAGAGGAGAACTCATTGCCGCGGATCTTGTCCTTGACGATCGCCGTGAATTCGATCAAGCTTTTGCGCACCTCGTACTCGATGTTGGTGGGCAATTCTGGAAGGTTGCTGAGCCGCTTCTCGTTCTTGCGAAGCTCGTCAAAGATCTTGCTCTTGATAGAGGGAAGGCTGTGAATTGTTCGTCAGCTAAAGAAAGACAACGTATGTTGAGGTCCGAAGGCCACTCACTTTTTTGCAAACTCCTTCCCAAGCTTTTCCGAAAGAGCTTCCTTCAGTCGTTCGACACCACATCGATCTGAAAACTCGGCAAACTCCTCTGGCCAGTTCTCATGCTTGCCATTGAACAAGGCCTCCTCCCATTGGGTCTGGCGATCCAGGTCCTGTTCTGCGCGCCGAGAGGTGATGAAGTACTCGTGGCCAATGAGGTGACGTTCGCCGCGAAGCATGGACAGCCACTGGCCGTAGCTATTGCTACCCTGATTCGGCAGCAGATCAGCCTTGGTCATGACGCCAATGGTGCGGTTCTGAGCGCCGACTCTGCGAATGATGGACAAAGTAGACGACGTTTCGGGGTCGGCATTCATGGGGACCGCCCAGATGATGAGAGCGTCGTTTTCCGAAATGTGCTGAACAGCCAAGTTTTCGACAACTTGAACAAGATACTCGTCTTCCTCATATCCGGAATTGCGGAAGATGCCGGGCAGGTCATAAAACGACAGGTCGGGCAGGTCGGGCCCCTTGATCTCGAGTGCCACAGTGTTGGGGCTGAATTTGGCAATGGTATTCTCGGCTTCGACGGCAAGTTCCCTAGTCCTCGCGATGGCGCCTGAGCCAGGAATGAACAAATCCGAGTTCTGGGCATAGTTCAGGACCGCCACCTGGGCCCAGCGGAGAACAGTTTCGATCTCGCTTTTGTTCCGTGAGTAGATGGTCATGAACTCCTTGACCTCACGATTTTGTCGTCGGACCCAAGGCGGGAAAGGGTTCTCGGCGGTAACATCCTCCTTCGTAATGGGCTGGCCGAAGGGAGGTGGGCAATAGTCGTAGTCCAGTTGCAGGCTGACACGGCACGACCACTCGTTGTTTCTGGAGGCACGAATGTGAATTGGGCACCTCGTACAGACGCCATCGCTCCGAGGAAGGGGCAGGCCCGCGACGCTGGACATCAGCATGGACTTCCCGGCCGACTGGTCTCCAACCATGATGAGGCTCGGGAGTGAGACAATGTGTTCGATACCCAGCTGCTGGACGTCACCGAGCGTGTCGTTGCACGCCTTGAGCTTGGCGCCGACATTTTGGAAGGAGCCCTCCAAGAAGCTTTCGCCCAAGCCGGGCGTCGACTGATCGTAAGGCATGCCGCGATTACGCACTTCGAGGTAGACGGGCTCGCTCCCATCCACAGTGGAAGTACGGGTTTGAAAGACAGTCGGCGTTGCTGCATCGATTCAGTTGATATATTACAGGTGAGGCTCATGGAGGTAGGCGAGTACTTACGGGCATCCGACCGCATAAACGATTGAGCGACGCTCTGCGGCGGCCAATTTGTCGATGACTGTGCTGTGTGCCACTCCGATGAACGATGCTGAACCTCTTCTTGGGGTGCGAAGGTAGGAGCAGAGTTTCTGGGCGATACAGGGCGTGGTGGTACGGCAAACTGTGGGATGGTTGTTGTGGAATCCGAGTCCGTGGACGATCGTGACCCAGGTTCCAGTTTAGGCCGAGGCGTGAGAGGGGTGGCCATGGTGGTGAGAGGAGGGAAGAGCTGGAGAGGATGCCACCTGAAGATGGTGGCCTTGATATCGCTGGATTTGAATGGAATAGGCAGGAGCAGAAGACGATGGGCTGAGGCAGCAGGCAGAGATTCAGGCAGTGGGGAAAGGGGTGTTGACAGTCAGGCTCACGATTCCTGGTCAAAGAACCCAGAGGGAAAACAAAATGAGTTCAGAAAAAGTCAAGCATAGATCTTTGAGCGAGCAAGAGGTGAACGACAAAGCGTGTGATGTTCTTGGGGAGCAGCGAGGTTTTGGGGCTTCGTCGTTAAAGTTCCCTCCAGGGGCAAGGACTGAATCTCCTGTGGTACTCGAAACTGGTTCATGGCCTGTTAGGCGATACCTAGGGGGAGGGGATGGATATCCATCTGCAGTACCCGAGGAGGCTCATGGCAAGGCGATTTGGGAACGAAAAATCATCTCGCACTGAGATTAACATTTTGACTGCATTTGAGACCGGGCAACGGATCTAATGGTGTTGCGCTGCCAAAAGGGGGTTCGTGGAACATGTACCTTTTAACGAAGAGTGTTGGGACGTGGAGGAGACGAGGTGCATGAGATGTGACAGGGGTGAGCAGCTCAAGCTGAAGAAACAGGTGGCTGGCAGGTCGCGAGGCGGCACCCCCTGTTGGCTTGACTCGACGTGGCAGCTCCTTTGATCTGCTATACCGTATATTGCTTGTTGACGACGAACTGGTTTGCGACTATTGAAATTCCATCTATTTGGTGCGCCATCATTGATGATGAACATCTGGCTGCATTGTCATTTGAAATGTTCCAGCACGGGTGAGATGGATCTGGTTGGGTGCTGTTTGTTGGCTTCCATGCACATGTCACGTCAACATGATCCCGCCATCCACCAAACTCCGAAATAGTAGGGAACATCGTGTTCGTCCGGTCATGGCCATCAGAATAAGAAAGGCGTCGCTCATGGACGTCGTCTGTCCCGGTTGGATCGGCAGCTGGCGGCTGGCGGTGAGGAGGGAAAAGCAAAAGCTGGGGAGGAGGCTTCAGGCATCGAGTACCTTTCTGTCCGCCAAGGCGCAGATGCCCAGAAGCTCCCCGGGGCAGCTTCCCCGGATCGCCAACAGGACTGACTGCCCTGACATGTGCAGAACAGCGAACAGTGCCACACTTGGGCAGACGGAGGGCGGCGAGGCTTCCTTCCTTTTCCTTCAGTGGAGGTCCAGCACAGCAAATGAAGCAACGCAGCGCATCCATGCGCTAATCCGGATACGCTCCAGACGCTACCACTTTCTGGCAGTGTGGCTGGCCCCCTGTTCGTCCGCCCTGAACACGGGACCCACACCACCTGAAAAGCGGTCCTGGGTCCTGGGTTCTTGGCTCTGGCTTCTGGGCCCTGGCGCTCCGCTCCGCCTTCCCAAAGTTCGCCGTGTGCTGGCACTGGCACCTGCTCTTGATCTTCCATATCCCATCGTGCCTGCCCCTGGTCCCGAATCCCAGAACACCACGTCGGCAGGCACTGGCAACGAGGCACAAGGCACCAGGCATGAGGCACGACGCACAAGAGCGACAAACACCAGACCCGACGTGACGATCGTGGGGCCTTTCCTTCGACCTGCCTCTCCATTGTCCCTCTTCTTTCCATTTTCAACAGCGCTTCCTGCGACACTCTGCCCTCACCAATTGTTCCTTTTAGGTTTCGGCCACCGTTTCTTTGTCGACACACTTCACATTTGCTTCGAGGCCCCCTCAATTGACACGGCCACCCTCTCCATTGACCACCGACGCCACGTCCCCTTACGGCGCGACGATTTCTCGAACGGCTCATTTCCTCAACGACCAGTTTCCTCGCCGTACAGACTTCCTCACGTTACCCGCGCGACAGCCCTACCTGCTACCCCAATCCGGGCTCCTCCTCCCTCCCGCTCGAGCTACGTCAGGGGGTCGCACGACCACGATCGCCATTCCCGTTTCAACATCCATCACGCATACCATTTCCCCCGCAGACTTGCGCGCGCGAGCCCGGCCTCCGCGCAGCTTCCTTCCTCCAGCCGTTGACGGCGTCCTTTTCTTTTCCGCAAACCGACTTCTTCTCCTCTCCTCGACAACCTCACTCGCCATCACGGCGTGCCCTTCACAATGGCGATACTCGGCACCGCGCCGTACCCCTCCAAGGCGCCCACCATCATGGGCATGCCCGCGAAACAGGTGTCCCTCGTCACCGTAATACAAATCTCCTCCCGTCTTGACCTCCCGGCAGGCCGCTGACCGTTCCACTTGCAGCTGTGCTTCCAAAATTCGGCTCTCATCCTCGTATGTCACCGTGTGGCTCTTGCTTCCATGAGGTATACCGACTAACGCAGACCTCTTCTTCCAGATCATGCACTACTCCCGAATCATGCCACAAGTGGGGGACCATCGATACTTCGCCTCGACCGCCGTCTTCCTCAGTGAGGTCATCAAGTTGTCCATATGCCTCTGTTGCTGCATCGCCGAAACATCACGTGCCCTAGGCACGTCGGCGACGCCCGCCGCCATCTATTGGCACATCCGAACGGCTGTGTCATCGGGCGACAGCTGGAGGTTGGCAGTGCCCGCCGTTCTGTATACGCTGCAAAACTCCCTGCAGTATGTGGCTGTTGGCAATCTCGATGCTGTCCACTTCCAGGTTCTCTCCCAGTTCAAGGTGAGCTCATCTGTCCTGTACGTGGCCCACCTCTGGCTAACATGCGCAGATTCTCGCAGCCGCCGTCTTCTCGGTCACGATTTTGCGGCGCTCACTCCCGCCCAAGCGATGGCTCGCACTGTTGGTGCTCACTTTTGGTGTCTCGATCGTCTGTATACCGCATTCCGACACACACCAAACTTCCACCTCCTACAACAGCATCCTGCTCCACCATGATGCCGACCACTTCTTTCCGCGATCCGTTCACGAGCTCGGCCAGGCTGCAGCCAACGGTGCGCACCATGTGACCAAGCGTGCTGCTCAGGTCCTTGCACCTCGCACGCCCCTAGTCCTCCCTCGCTCCGCCACATACCAAGGCATGGCCGAGGACGAAGCTCGCACAATGGCCAGCAACTACACCTTTGGAGTCTTTGCGGCCCTGATCGCAGCTGCCAGCTCTGGACTCGCCGGTGTGTACTTTGAAAAGATCCTCAAGGACGCGGCCGCACCACCGAATACCTCGATCTGGACCCGTAACGTGCAGCTCTCTTTCTACTCGCTCTTCCCGGCCCTCATTATCGGCGTCTTTTTCAAAGACGGCGCCGAAGTCCGTGAGCATGGATTCTTTGACGGCTATAACTGGGTCGTGTGGACCGCCATCTTTCTTCAGTCTGCCGGAGGTGTCCTCTCCAGCATGTGCATCAACTACGCCGACAATATTGCCAAAAACTTTGCAGCAAGCATCAGCATTGTCGTCAGTTTCGTTTTCAGCGTGCTCTTTTTTGATTTTGTATTCGGCTTCACCGTAAGTACAGGGACTCCCACGACCCTCAAGCCATCGATAACTGACCCAGGCCTAGTTTATCCTCGGCACCTCGTTGGTCATGTTCGCAACCTACCTATACAGCTCTCCTGAACGAAAGATGACCCGTCGACCGCCACCACTGCGCATTGCGAGCTACCAAAAGACCGCCGTTGACCCAATGTATACCCCGCGGCTCGGCGACGATCTACGGCCCCCACTCGACCCGCTTGAGTCAGTCCGCAGCATGGCCTTGTCGACGTCGCGGCCGTCGAGCCCGATGCGCTATCCACGCTCACCGTCAGCACGGAATCTGAGCAAGTTCCGGGGTGACTGAGTCGCCTCTTCATGTTTCATTTGTGCAAGGACACCACATCGACACGAGAAGACGGAGTGATCGACAGAAGAGACGGGAGGTCATACAAAAAAATACACAGGGACCATTTCTAGGCCATGTCCATCCCATGTATACAGTCTTGGAATCGGCGGCATGAAAAGAGGGAGAGGGGAAACGGGGCATGCGATACCCAGCCGAGCCGATGGTGAGGCCAGCACGACACACACACACACATACACACATAAAGACACTCATATTTTCTCTTGTTTCTGCACTTGGTGGTACACGGTCTTTCGTAGAGCGGACGGGGGTTTTGGGAAGAGAAGAAAATAGAGCCGGGCGCCTGATGTGTATATATAAGACCAGGCAAGCGGACTGATTTGACAGACATACCACGACCTACATCTGTTGCATTGGACTGAATGCCTCCAAAATGTTGACCGTGTTTAACATGTGAACCCGTAGCTGTCACTAGTTCGCCCGCACCGTTGCCCACGCATTCTTTTTTTTGTTGTTCACACCTCTGGCGCCGAGACGTCCATCTCGATAAGGGTGCCAACCACCTCCTCGCAGCTCGCCCAGGCAAAGATGGCCTCCCCCGGCGTCATGGCTACGGGGAAGACGAGATCGCGATCCGCCTCCATGAGGCACTTGGTGCTGACGCGGTGGAAAAAGAGGAGCTCGCCGCGGCGGCCTGGCTCGACGTCACCAGCACCGCTACCGCCAGGGGCGCCGCCAGCGCCCTGCGCCGCCGCCCCCCGGCCCGCGAAGACGCGGCGGCCCTCTGGGCGCGGGCCCCTCTCCACGGACACGCACACCTAGTGCACCTTTTCTCGCCAGAGGGGCACGTCGTCGTTGAGGCAGCGGAGCCGCGCGCGCACGATGGCCAGGGCGCAGGCCCGGCGCGAGGGCGCGGACGACCTTCTCGGGGCAGGGCGTCGATGGCGAGCATGTCGGACGCGGCCGCCCAGCGTTCGAAGCGGGCCTTCAGCAGGAGACGGGGGAAGGCCCTGAGCAGGAGGACCGTGTTCATGCCAAAGGGCGGGTTCCGCTTCAGGATGCGGTCAATGTTGTAGAATTCCGTGTCGGCGAGGGCGCGGACGGTCGAGATGCCGGCGGCCTCGAGCATCTCAATCTTCTTGGGGCCAATGTTGGCGACCTGCTGCAGCTCGTGCGTGTCGCCCTCCCACGCGCCGGCGGCGATGGAGCGCGAGAGCTCGAGGGCGCGGCGGACGGTGACGCCGTCGTGGCGGAGTGCGGCGAGGTCAGCGGCGCAGCGGAGGATGCGGCGGATGAGGGAGGTGATGTGCTTCGACTCTTCGCCGAGAGCGGCTCGATCCCGGGGTGTGATCCGCGGTATGTACAGCCAGGATCGTCCGGTGGGATGGTTCTGGGCAATGAGGAAGGCTTTGTGCCAGGCGAGGGTCGGCGTGGACAGAGCTATCGGCCAGATTGTGGTTGCCGCGGCGTTGAGGGTAGAGAAGAGTGCTTTTTCGCCCGGGAGGAGAGGGTGCGAGTTGATCTCGGTGGCTAGACATGCTTTTTGAAGGATAATGTTGGGCGGAGCTGCACATGGGATAGAAACAAGTGTGTGAATGGTAGGGGCCGACAGGCGGTGGCGTAGAAGAATCTCGTGTTGGTCCGAGGTCAACGTATTGGCGGTTGGTTTCGCCAGGTCGAGGGCAGTCCTTCCAGTAGAAGATGACGGGTCTTCCGCCGTGTTCGTGTCTCCTACTTTGAGACGCTTGCTTGGGGGAGCCCCGGGCTTCTGTGTAGTGGGAGGGAACGAGGGGTGAGGCTTGGACGTGCCCTGTTGGACGATTCCCGAGGCAGATGGTTCTGATCCTGATAGACGGCCGAACGGGAGGGGCTGCTGATGCTTCACAGCAGCGACCTGTGGCTGCGAAAATGCTTCCGAGTTGGTGTGCGAGCCGGTTCTGTGGGCACGGGGCCGCGGAGGCACGTATCGCTTGGGAGGCATGGTGTCGAGGTGGTTATGACAGGCATATGATCAACATTGGCGGAAGCATCCGGCGGTCTTTGGCTGTTGGAGAGGTGGGTTTGATCTGGTGAAGAAAATTACAAACGTCCAAGATGGCAATCGCGAAGATGGTGGGATATCGGAGTCTTTGGTGTTTCCTGCCTGGGGTCAGGAAGCAGCCGGGTTATCCTGCCCTCTGACAACAGACGCCTTCCGTTGACAACAAACGGCAAGCGCCTGTCCCGACTGCTCTTGCTGCCGATTTATTGCAGGACAGTTCGGCGGCTTGCACTGCATGTCGCCTCGGTTGGGTACAACACCAGACTGACACGCCAAGAGACGGCTTCCGTTCATCAACAGAAGATCATTCGCATTTTGAGCTGACGCTAGACATGGCGGGCATGATCTATAAGAGCAATGGGACGCTTTTCCCCTGGTGCATGCAAAACTCACCACCCAATCCGTCATTACCAGCACGCTGAATCGACCGTAAATAGCCCTCTCACATGATGACTTCGTTCGCGACGTCCTGCGCCAGTCAGTAAGCACGCAGCATGAGGCTCGGCGGGGAAGACGCACCCTCTTCAACTCCTTGTACGGCAGGCACACGCAGTTCTGCACGCGCACCTCGTCGCCGACGCCGCAGTCCTTGCCGAGAATGGTGATGCTCTGCACCTTGACGCCGTTCTTGATGATGCTCGTCGTGTGGCTGTTGACGGCCATGGGGGTGCCCTCGACGCGGGCCCAGGCGCCGACGCGGCTGCCCCAGCCGATGATCGAGTACAGCACGCAGGCGTCGTGCTTGACCTCGCTGTCCTCGAGCACGACGGCCTCCTTGATGCGCACGCCGGGGCCGATGACGGCGCGCGGGCCGATGGACACGTTGGGGCCGAGCTTGGCCGTCGGGTCGACGGTCGCCGTCGGGTGGATGAAGACGGGCGGCAGAATGTTGGCCGACGGCTTGGCCAGCTCGGGGGAGCCCTGCTGCTGCGCCTTTTGCAGGTACAGCGCGTTGGCCGGCACGGCCGAGCCGGCCGTCTTGATCTGGCGCCAAAAGTCCTTGGTCTCGTAGACGAAAAAGTGCTTCGTGTCGGCCATGTCGGAGAGGATGTCCTGCTCGAGACGGATGACCTCGTTCTTGCGCTCCTCGTCGTCGTCCTCGTCGTTGTGGAACACGTAGCTGTTCTCGAGGTTCTCCGACGACGGGTACGACACGAGGCGCGAGGGGCGGTCGGCGCGGCGCTTGATGGCCGTCTTGATCGAGGGGAAGATGGCGTCCGTGGCGAAGAGGTAGACGCCGCAGTTGATGAGGTTGCTGACGCGCGTCTCGGGCTTCTCGACGTAGTGGAGCACGCGGCGCGTGTGCGCGTCGCTGACGATGCAGCCAAAATTTGTCGCCGCGTCGTCCGAGACGCGGGTGCCGAGAATCACAGCCTCGGCGTCCTTGTCGTCGAAGAGGGCCAGCATCTCGACGAGGGGGAAGGAGCAGCAGACGTCGGCGTTGAGCACGAACAGCCGGTCGGGGCGGCCCTTGAGGATGGCGTCGCGGAAGTGGTAGAGGCCGCCGGCGGTGCCCAGGGCCTCGTATTCGCGCAGGTATTTGATGCTCAGGCCGGGGAACTCCTTGGACGAGTCCTTGATGAAGTCGCGGAACACTGTCTCGTCGTAGTAGCCGATGATCAGAACCTCCGAGATCTGTCCATCGGGAATGCGACCAATGGCCGCGAGGCAGTGCCAGATGATGGGGTGGCCGGCGACTTCGAAGAGGGGCTTGGGAACGTCAAGACTGAGAGGGCGGAATCGGGTGCCGCGCGAGGGACCGCCGACCTGGTGACGCGAGAACAGTTAGCATCGAGCTCCAAGGCGCCAAGAGGAAGGGAGGAGACAGGTGGTCGGTTTGTACCAAGATGACCGCCTTGGTCGTGGCCGCATCCTGCGTCTTGCCGCGGGTGGGAATCTGCAGAGACATGTCGTCAATGGTGGTTGTAGGAACCGCGATCTGCTGTAGTGGTCGACGGCGGCAGAAAAGAGGGAGGGGTAAAGAGGGAGGAGGCTCAAGAAAACGGGTATCCAGGGTCTGGCCGCCAGGTAGGTATGTTGATGATGCAGGCCAGGTGGGAAGATGGTAGGGCGGTGACCACTGACCAGGGGGGGGGCATGGGCAGCTTCTTTGGTCGAGGCCTCCACTTTTGTGCCCCTCGCTAAGCGGGGAATTCGTGTCTTCTGCAGGCGGGAGCGGAATCTTCTACTGCCCCTGTGGGAGATGCACACGATGCACTAACTGCGGGAGCTGCGGCGGCTGCAGGGGCAGGCGGGGCATGATGGGAGCTTCAAGACCGTGGTGGGCAAGACAAGACGGGCTGGCGATCAGACAATTTGGGGAGAGTATGTTCAAGGTATGCAAGACAACCCGCTTGGTCCATTCATGACTGCATTAACTTCTCTGTGTTTTTTCTTTCTTTTCTTTTTTTCTTTTTTAGTCGAGTTCATCCATCCTCTAAGCTCTACAATGTTGGTTGGAAAAGTCGCCCAGCAATTGCTAAGTGACAGTATGTAGCAGCACCCCATAACCGAACACACCCATTACCCGTTTCACAAGCCGATCGCCACGCCATCTCCCCATCAACCCCCAAGCTCCCCGCCCACAATGTCCAACGCTTCCGTGCCGAGATGCAGTACGGCCTCGTCACCTGCCGCCCCAGCGACGCGTACGACAGCCACGAGCAAGGGATACAACCGCAAAAGGTGCTTCCTCGTCTCACACTCCACGTTCGGCGAGTCGGGAATGGCCTCGGGCTGCGACTGCAGGGCTACAAGCGCCTCGAGCAGGCGAAGGAGCTCCCGCCGTTGTGAGAGGGGCTGCGGCATACGGCCTCGAAGGGGCTGGTCGGCAATGAAGGCCCGCAGCGGCAAGGCGGCCCTCAATATGAGAAACGGTGCGGTGGCACGAGCGGTCCGGATGTGGAGGCTGCTGATCGGTTCGGGTGCCGGGTGAGGCAGGGTGAGGGCTGGAGGCGGCCAGCGAGGGGTCGGTGGCTGGATCGTGATGGACGGCCCGGGCGTGTCCTCGTCGTGCGTGGCGACGAGCGAAAAGAGCTCCTCGAGACAGACGTAGCTCATCTTTGATCGTGCCTTGGCCGCTGGGTCGGATGTACGGCCCTTTCGCGGCTTGTACATCGCTGAGAGGCCAGCACCATCAGCACCGAGCGCCGAATCGCCCGGCGGTGGGGTGTGAATCATCGACGTTCGGAACAGGCTCTCCGCATACGCTTTGCGCGTCTTGTCGGGAATGACCTCGGCGCCGAGCGAGGGAATAATGAGCTCCCGCAGTTTGCGGAATGACTTCATGTCAAAGGCCTCGTCGTCCAGAATATCCGTCTTGTCGGGCGCCGCTTCAGTGTCGGCGCTGATGATGCCGTCAGCAGCATCAACTATCAGCCGCCAGATGTCAGGGATAGTTTCTTTTGGCACGTCAAGCGTATGTAGATGGGGAAGTGTTCCTTCCAAGACGGCCAATGTAGAATCAGTTGCAAGCCTCCACGGTTGGGTAGATTTCGTGACGATTGGGAATCGGTATTTGAGAATGATGGCCTTGGACAGCGCCGACAGTGCTGCAGAAAAGGCCCCACTGGCATACACGTCGGCGTCGCCAGCATGGATCAATACTAGTCTTTGCAAGACTGCCATGCTGCCTTTGGACATGGCAACATATGTGCGCTTGGATGCCCCTTCCCTCGCGGGATCGCGATTGAATGGCAGTCGCACAAACTCGGCAACTTGTGAGATCATGGCCGATGGGACGCCCTCGAGGTCCGTTCGAATTGTCTTGATGGCTTCCAGGACCTGATTCTGGAGAGGCGTGGTGTACTCAACATCATTGACGTAGGCTCCCACCGTGGCCCGTTGCAACGCCTCTCGGAACAAGGTCAACATTTGGCGAACCCGCTCGACCGTCAAGTCTGCGCTGACCAACCGGTAAACATCATGAAACGCGCCTACGTAGGCGGTCAGGCAGTTTTGATTGTCGTTCTTTGTGCCGTCGTCTCCTGCCGCCACAGGGATGCCTCGCGACCACAATTGCCACGCCGCGTCGACAGTCTCTTTGCTGAAACTCGACTTGTGGTGTGGCTGTCCCTGGGCGAGGATCTGACCGAGTGCCTTGAAGGTTGCGGTGCTGACGTCTAAGATCTTGAAGTCCAAGAGTGTGGTGAAATGAGCAAGGAGCTCTTGCCACAAGTTGTTGAACGATGGATGCTTCGAGAGAACATTTAGGTACGAGGCTAATAGCTGGGAAATGCCGTTCAGCACGAGCACTGATGTTCCGTGCCATTCTTTCCGATCATCTTCATCCCCCTCGCTAGCCTTTGGTGAACGAAGCTCGTCTTCGATTGATGACAGAAGCCTAAAGATGACAAACTTGACGCAGGTGAACCATGCCTCTGGGTTCAAATTGTCGCCGTAGGCGTCAAAGATGCGGAGCAGGGTCTGGATGGCGCCTTCGCAAGTCAGCATGCTTGAATACAGTGAAAAGGGGGGGCACTCACTGTTCCGAAGCTCTAAACGATCGTCTGCTGTGACAGTAGTGAGGCGAAGTAATAGAAGCATCCAGAGTGCAGCATTTGACGACTTGTGCTTGGGATTGCCTGCGAGTGCGGCCAGGTCTGATACTTCTGCGCCGTCCATGAGGCTCGTCGTGATAGACATTGGCTTGTTCTTCCCTGACAGGTGGTCTGACAAAACCCAGAAGAACGTAACGGTCTGCGCTTGTCAGTAAAGCCGACCGAGGTGACCTGAGGAGAGGGGATATACCGTCAAAGCGATGTTGAGATCGTCATATTGCGAAGAGAATTTGTAAAGGGTATCAACGAGAATGAGAAAACAGTCGTTCGGGAGCGATGTAAGAAAGTCGGAACAAATGAGCTGCAATGAGCTGAACGACGAACGAACCAGTTTCGGAGATCTTGTTAGCAGCGTAGCCGTCGGTGCATCCGAAGGCTTTCTGTCGTCTGGTGCAATCGTTCGGTTCATAAAGATAGATCCGATGATCTCAAAGGCGATTTCCCACCCGCTAACAAGCGCCTCGCCGCAGTTTTCCAGGAGGCTCTTCAGCCCCTCAAGAATGACTTTGTGTATCTCAACATCTGTTGCGTGATTTGCCACCGAAGTATCGCGATCCTCCTTCTCGAGTGGCCGCAGGGCATTTCGCAACGACTCGAGGACTTGTAGTTGGACAGGGCCTCGCTCTTCAGGCTCGAGCGTCAAAGCGACGTTGGCCGATTCCAGTGCCAGGTTCACGAGAATTTCCGCAGCTCTCAGGCGGACCGACGCGTTGGCAGTCGTCGAATTGAGGGTCTCGGCAAGTTGACCAACGAGGGAGCCCCAGCCTGACACATCAGGCGGATATGACAAGAGTCGCTCGATATTGATGGTAGCAATATCTCCAAGTTTGGCCAAAGCGAACTGATCTTGCTGATTGGGCGCCGAGGCACCAGCCGACGGGCTTGGTGCTTTTCGATGTTGGCTCGTCGGCTTCAAAGTAGCACCGCCTGGGGGCGACTGGGGCCGACTGCCTTCCTCTGTTTTGTCTTCGGCATTCGTATCTAGGAGAGCGCAAATCGCATCGACAACCTGTATGAATGCGTCATTGGGGAAGTCAACCGTGCTTTCAATGAGACGTGATGCTGCCGTCTCAACTGCCTTGGTTTCTGCGCCAAAGTTGGCTACTAGCGAGTTGGAATCCCCTTCGACTTGATTGTCTTGACCCCGAATCGCGGTTGGTGTCCTCGACGGTGTCTTGTGGGTTGAGAAGAGCACAAAGTCAGCCTGCTGAAGTGTTGCTAGTATGATGCGCCAGGATGGCCCCAACGTAGGGCCCAAAGCAATTCCAAGATTGAGCAGCGCCCGGAGGCAAAGCAAATTTCGGGTTGTAAGTGTGGCACCGCTGGCATCAACCGATGGCTGACGACCTCTTTCCGCTGCCGAGGGGCCTTGTCCAACTAGACTGTCCACACTGAGCAAGCCCTTGGCGTTGCTGAGGATACTGTTGTGGGATGTACTTGATGCATCGAAGCTAGGGGTGCGCGCATTGCTGCCGGCGTTCAGGCAAGCAGTGAATACATTGGGAGGCACGGCGGCCTTTCCGAGCGTTGTAAGAAAGGCATCTCGTGGTGTTGACAACTGAAGCAGGCCAGCAACATGGGCAAACTTCTGGAACGCCCTGACCAGACTGTGGTAGTATTCGGAATCTAGCGCCGCGTTGAGGAACGTCGAGCAGGTAGCGAGAATGGCGGGCCAGCATTCGTCTACAATCGCAGCACAAATCTTGACTTCCGCGTACAACGGATGGTCTTCCAATGTGAGGGGGTTTCGAGGCACTGGGTTTCTCTTGAAAGACCCTGCTCGCTCAAGATGACCTCGAGGGCCAAGTGCATGAGGAGAGTCTTCCGCAGTTGGTCCTGGGGATTCTCGCCCGACGTCTTGCCTCAAGCTTCTCTTTCGGCTTCTCCCCTCTGCCGACACCGTCAGGGGCAGGATGAACTTGGCCAGCCCTTCCGAGAAGGAGGAGATGCAGGACAAAGTGAGACTGTAGATATACGACTCCGGAATGGATGGCGGCTCCGTCTTGTCCAGTTGATCAATGCAAGGCACTCGCATGTTGCTCCATTGAGAGCTGATTCCGGTGTTTGAGCCTTCAGATCCGACGGAGCCGCTCATGATACCAGTGACGCCACCTGTTTTCCAAGACGACCTGGTCGGCAGTCGCGCCGGAATTCGCATACGGATTCGCCACGGGGCAAAGTCGACTGATGGCCCAGTCCGATGACAGCAGGTTTTTCGGTACTTTATCCGGACAAAGGTTGCCGTCAGCGTCTGGAGGATATTCTTCTCGCCCTCTTTGGCATCATAGAGCATGAAGATTCGGCGGAGGAGAGCATGTTCAGAGAAAATGCCGCGGAAGACCTCCATACAGAGGGCTCGTTTCCAGAGAGCCGTGTCCTGGTCGAGCAAATGAGTGAGAATATCCAACGCATCTCCACCTTCGGTTGGAAGGATATTGAGATGTCGTCGAAGGAGGGTATACAGAATGCGTACGAGCCGCACCGAGGTCGCAAAGTTTGGCCTGTCCTTCAGGGCGCTGATGATGAACGGCATGACCCGACTCTGAAGGATGAACGCCTGTTCCGGGTGGCTTACGAAGATCGCCGCATGGTTCGTCAGAACAGATTCTATCAGCTCGAGGCCAAAGGTCTGCGGCAAAGCAGACAACCTGAGATACTCAGGTCGCTGGTTTTCCGTCATGAGGCACAGGTCTTTGAAGATCTATGCCGATCAGTACAGTTTTCAGCGCCATGAAGTTTGAGGAGATTCCGACTAACTCTGTATGCATCGAGGGCGGCTTCGCGAAGCGGAATGTCTGCGTCCGCTGTAGGAGCCTCGCCTGCTGGAGGGCCATCGGCGGGTGCAGTTCCTAGCACCTAGTCAGCGTTGTCGCATCAACATGGTAGTTGAACATACGATCCTCGGTGACCACCTTATCGAAGACGGAGACCACGAGCTGCTGCAGCGTCGCAGCTGAGGTGTTGTTGACGATTGCATTCTTGCTAGTCTGTAGGATGAAGCAGATATTCAAGGCTGTGACCAGTAAGTCGCCCTTCACATCCCCAGCGTAGTTTTGTAACAGCGTGGGTAGAATTTGCAGAATTTTGAGCTGCACATCGAGTCCAGCAGACGTGGCCTCTCTCAAGGCCTCAAGGACATGACTGAGCTTTCCTCTGGGTAAGGCCCGGACAAGGATGAGGCGTTGGAGACAGACGATGGCGATGGCGGTGAACTTGGTATTCTTAGTGCCGCAAGCAATGACGAAGGGGTTGACAAAGTTGGGTCGTTGCGTGAGTTCAGATATGGCTTGGGCCTCGTTGGATGCTTTGCTGGTGACGGCTTTGAGCTCCTCGAGAGCTTTCTCGGCTGCCTGTCGGAGGTCGGTATGCTTGCGCTTGCTCTCTGAGATGAGGTTCGCGAGCTCCGTGGCAAGCAATTGGGTCGTCATTGTTTCATGAGCTGAATGCGGCTTGGCCCATCTTTCGGACCAGCTAATCCGGGAATCAAGTCAGTGGTCACGTCGTCGATGGTGGATAGTATCGCGCCAGCATGACGATGCAGCTGGTGAGACTTATGGAAGGGACAGGCGAGGGTGAGAGCTGTCACCTTGAATGCTGAGTCAGCATCATGGGCCGTCGCTGGGGGCACCAAAGTGCGTGCTCCCCACCTGGGCCACCCCAAGTGCCCCGCGATTGTCCAAGGTCAAGGAGGTACCTCAAGAGCCAGCCCACCTGCGTCTCAGACTGTTTGTCCCGCGCCAGAGCACTGCCCCTCATCGGCATCATCAGTCACAGCAAACCACACTGCCCATACTGCCCATACTGCCCATCCTGCCCATACTGCTCCAAGCCGATTCTGGCCCCCCCAATACCCCAATACCCAAGCCTTTGACCGATCACAAGGAGCAGCATCATGAGCGCCAAGGTACCTAGGAATTTCCGTCTCCTCGAGGAGCTCGAGAAGGGCGAAAAGGGCCTTGGAGCAGGTAGCCGCAAGTCTACAATCCCTTTGGCACGTGGCGCAAGTTTAACTGACACTGAATGCAGAGGCCTGCTCCTATGGTCTGAACGACAACGAGGACCTGCTCATGTCCGACTGGAACGGCACCATCCTCGGTCCTCCTCATGTAGGTCCCGTTCTCCCACGCTCGACCGCTTCTTCGGCGTCGCTCAACCTGCCCCTGCCCCTGCCGCAGCGCCTCCACTGACATATTTCCTCGGCAGAGCGTCCACGAGAACCGCATTTACTCCGTCAAGATGCACTGCGGACCCAAGTACCCCGACGAGCCTCCAACGATCCAGTTCATCAGCCAGGTCAACCTTCCCTGCGTCGACCCGCGCAACGGCGTCGTCGACCCCCAGCAGCTGCCGTGTCTCGCGCAGTGGAAGCGCGAGAACACCATGGAGACGGTCCTTATCGAGATCAGGAGGTACATGGCGTCGCCCTCCAACAAGAAGATCCCTCAGCCTCCCGAGGGCGCCTGCTACGAGTAGCGCGTAGAATACAGAGTCAGGCGTGTTATGACAACAGACGAGTCAATGATCATGAGTTGATATACATTTCGCCTGTTGGCCAGGCTCTACCGCTTGACTCCTTGGGCTTGAGCTTAAGGTCGAGGAAACGTTGATTTCCGTCCCTGACCAGCTTTGCCTCTTTCCCCAGTGACTTCATGGGTAATATCGGTTTGACTCAAGCCCGATACTGGCAGGATCGTGACAAATCTGTTTCGCTGAGGAGGAAGATCGGAGCAGGTGCCACTAGGACATCCAACGCCATCCGCAAGATCGATGGCAGCGACCGGAGGCTCCCCTACGTCAAGAGAAGATGAAGCAATTTTGAGTCTTCTCAGCGGTCTCGCCCCGGGCATGAGCTGGGTCGGGCGCTACCCTGGCTCAACCCAGGAAGCAAGCTACTTCCTGACGCATTCTGAGCAATATGAACTGGCCTACTTTGCGCTCCGTGACCCGCGCTTCGTCCTCAACATGGAATACCTCGTGTTTTAATTTTACACTGTCAAAAAGGCAATCCTATGATTCCATGGAAAAAATCCGCTCTAGCAGAGCTGTGGTCGTACATCGTTGACGCCGTCGACGTCCACTCACCGTCTTGGGCGAGGTGTCAGTCGGTGTGTCGGCAATTATCGGTGGATCCGCCAAGCAGCTGGAGGTGCCACCACGGTTTTTGCCAT